TTTATTGATTCAGTTAGTAATGTAGATAGCATATGCTTTCTCATGTATTAGCTGTCTAAAAACAGCTTTAGCAGTTTCTCTGTAGTTGTCAATAAAGATCCTGTAAAATCGAAAATCTTTACCACAGAAAATTATTAAAGATGCCTGAATACGGTAAAAGAGAGATCAAACCTACAGGTGTTGAAATAGAAACTGCATTTGTTGGAAAAATTCTTCTTCTGCCATTACCATTGAATTAAATGTTTTCGAAAAATATTATAATTGTTTTACAAAGTTTGCATATCAACAAGAGCAATCTAAGGCATGATAATCAGCAAGGAGAATATTGCAAAAGATGGTAATTTCAATAAGAAAAGAATAAAAACCTCAATATACTCTTGTAGTATCAATTTTATGTCCCTCTTCATTTTTTCTTTCCAATAAATTTTCCCTTTCTCAAATCTTCAAGTGTTTTCTAGAAAAAGTTTTCACTTGCATATCTGAATAGTCAATAAAAGAATGTGTGATATACTCCTGAAATTTTACTTTCTTTCATTGCTGAAATATTAATTATTTAACCGGGCACACTAATAAACGGCTCATTAAAGCTGTATACGTTGTCCGTTGATTTAGTACTCTTAATTGAGGAACGAGAGCTTATAATTAATTATTGAAAACAATTATTGTTTAATTAGTTATATTAGAGACAAGTGACGGATACCCGACGTCGGAACACCAAATCGAAGATAGCCCTGTTTAATTATTAAATAAAATTTATTCCCCTTCGATTCTGCGGTAGAATAATTGTTGCTGTTATTATATCGTGGGTACCCTTATTTGGAATTACGAGTGATTGGAGCTCGAATGGGGAGTTAGGAAGCGCGCAATTTAATTATATAAAATAGGTAACTTTAGATTAGAATTCAGACAACTACCGTAATAAGGGCGGTAGCACGAAGCTAATCTAACCCCGGTCGGAAGAACACCCCTACGCGAAAAATTTTAAGTTTACTCAAAGAAAATAAATGTATGGTAATTAAAGTAAAATGTGCATTTCAAGTTTTAATTAGACCCCCCAGGTCACAAATACCTTAGTAGTTTATGATAAAATTAAAAACTCATTAAAAACGCTGGCCTCAGTTACATGTAAAACTATGGAATAGGGAAATATGCCAACTTTGTCACATGCATGGGTAATACTCACGTTCAATTGGGACAATTAGACAATGAATCAACAAGTTTGAAAAAAAGAGCATGCAGGATGATGATTGTGTGTTGTTGATAGCATTCTAAAGGAAGCTTTGTGTAAAGAAAGTTGTTTCAAATGATTGATGTAAATTACCATGTACATTCTCGAAATAATCAAAACTTTTCGATCACACATATCCAAACTGAACAAATCATTTGATAATGTTATTGAACAGCAACAGTCGACCAAAAAATTTGCAATTCTTCTTTGGTTTAATAAATAATTTTTGGTCAAATTTGTTACTTCTACATAGTGGCAAAATATTGTGGTACAAAAGGCGTTGGAATTACCTTACATCCACTCTCTAGCAATAAAAGCGTGCGGTGAATGCCGTCTCGGTTTCCTGATAGAAATATCTATTGGCTGCGTCATTGTGGTCTATGTCACAAAAATACATTAGAATCCTTTCAATAGAACTATTGCATAATATCCGTATACAGAATTACACTGTTAAAAAATAATTAAATAGTTTGTTTATATGTAAAAAACGGAATGATAAATGACAACAACATTTTCTCTTGTAATCCTAGCAGCGGACTAACATTGAGAATATTGTTTCTGCGCGAGAAAAAAAAATATAAACAACAAATAGAATTCGAGCTGTAAAGGCGTGCATTTGTTCCTACGACTACGAGCTGTAATCGTTTGGATAGTTTATTCATCCAGACTTATAACTAAAGTCTCGCCTATTGTCAAACCCATATTTTCAGTCAATAAAAATAAATTATAATGTATAAACTTTATTTGTTTCTGGCGCGGGTGATACAAATTTCTACTTGCTGAGGCAGTTTAGAACCAATCAAATCAATATGCACTCTCCCGCCAATTAACTTACCATACTATCCTTTTTCTTTAATACTCATGTCGAGAGGAGGAGGATCTAGGGACTATGAGGACAGACCAGAAATGTCCAGAAATGGTCGCGGTGGCTATCACAACGGATTTTATCATGAAGGTGGACAGTCCAGAGACTCTTATTCTAGGGATGCGAACGGGTCTGGCAGCGGAGGTGTCAAACCAAGAAGAGGCCTTTCCCAAAGGTCGCGCGAAGGTGGAAGAAGACGGGAGCGCAAAACGAAGGTATCATTGAGATTGTTTTAAGTAGAGAATTCCGAATTAACCATTCAGCGTCCAGTCAAATTGACTATTGTATCTTCCAATTTTCGAAATCCCACTAAACGTTCCTTTTTTCCTCCTCCCTCGATTGACCTCCAATTCTTCCTTAATGATCTCCAGGAGGCCACCAACACGTTGACCACTCCACCACCGGATAATCTTTCTCGAAACTTTTATCAATCTCCAGTAATACTCGGACGAACGCCCACAGGCCCATCGTCACGTCCGGAAACCCAACGGGAGGAGGTTCCTCGAACAATTGCGACTAAACCTTCTGAACCGAAACCGTCATTGAAGACCAAACCTCTAGAACGGCCGTTTGCTAAAATGATCGATGAGAAGGGAACTATTAATCAGGAAATTGTGGGGAGGGTATGTAAGAAATAATCTATGGGATGAAGAGAATGTGTGTGTACGACGTGCAATAACAAAAATGGTTTATTTTATATGGCACAAATTTCATATGTGACAAGGTTGGATTGTAAATAATTGTGTATTTATTTTTAGTTACTTAGTGATCTCCCTGGCCATTTTGTTGTGGGCGTATGCGGTCCACAAGGTGCAGGAAAGTCAACGATTCTGTCGAAATTTTGTCAGGATCAGAGTAATGTATGGTAATTTTGGAGTCATGCTGGCCTTGACTATTGGGGGTGGGGGAGAAGTGCAAGTAAAGTCATTTATTTGGGCTTGAAATTTTGAGATTTTTAAATGTAGAAGAACGATTGCGTAATACCAGGCTTAGATTCCAATTCCAATTATTAAATTAAGTGCTTGTTTAATTTGCACCCTTAGGGCTTTACTCAACAATCAAATGAGACCTTATATGCGGCAAATCATGCCACTATCGGCGTGGACATTCATGTAACTCCAGAAAGGATTGTTTTGCTTGATACACAGGTAGGGTCATTTTCTGATATCATTGATCTGCCGATCGTCCGTTTGTGAATTGTTTGTGCATTCTCTAATTTATAATAAACATTTACCAAAAATGAACAGCCAATCTTTAGTCTTTCGGTGCTTGAACGTGCAATGAGGAACGATTATGTGCCTGATGGAATGTTGCCCGAGTTGTGGTTGGAATTGCAGGTGAAGATTGGGGATGAAATAACAGAGTCGTTCTTGTGCTATATTGCGATCATTAGCACTATCTCTCTCTGTCTCTCGCTCCAACACAGAAATAGACTGATGCATTCCTTCTATCATCCAGTCTCTTCAACTTGTCATATTCTTGCTTTCAGTGTGCAATGTTGTTCTAGTGGTGACTGAAGGTATGGACTATATGACTTGGAACTTCCTAAAGAAAGCAGAAATGTGTAAATATCGTATACCTGAATTCCCGACCATGCCTCATTTGAACTCGGCTGATGATATCGAATATTATCCTGAAATTGGTAAGCGGATTGTCAATGCCAGTGATATCAAAATCCCTAATAACATGTTTTTCTTGTCCTTAGTGTTGGTATGCAACAAGACACCTACACAGGAATTTACAACACCACGATACGATGCTTTATGCGAAATAGTGTGTGATATGTTTGACACAACCAAATTAAATCTCTTCAGTGAGTGAGTCATGTTTTTTACTTCAAACTTTAAGTGAAGTTGTGTAAATAAAACACTTACATATGTAAATATAGTTTACTCCCATACAATTTCACTCATTTCAATTTTGCTATTCTTATATTCCTGCCCTTTCCCTCTCTCTCTCGCTCTCACTCTCTCACTCTCTCACTCTCTCTAAACCCAGATACCGTTTCTCTGAACAAAACGTTTGCCATATCTCCACCATCGCTTGAGTCTTCACCTAACCTATTTCTCCTTCCATACGAACCTCATCCCTTACGCCATAAATCAGAAAACATGACCTGGACGAAACTGAATGCTCCAGACAGTTTTATCTCGTTTGCGGAATCTTTAAGGAATCAGGTGTTTGGATTACCCAAGAGAGAAGGGAAGAAGGGACAGGTATCAGAGAAAGATTGGTGAGTTGTTTATGAGAGGTGGGTGAGGCTGAGGTAGGTAAAAAAAGTGTTTGACGCGAACGGTCAGGGTGTATTTAACATTTGCGCAACTCTGTGGTGTTTACCTGTTTCTGTATTGTGAAACCTCTTCTCATCTTCATACCTCGTATACTTTTTTGCTCCTGCCATCTTGCCATCTGTTCAACTCTTACATTGAAACTACATTTTTTTTTGTTAGGTTTCGAAGTGCAGTAAGAGCCTGGGAATTGGTCCGCAAGTCTGAATTCATCTCTGAATACACTCGACTTGCTCAGAGATTGAAAGATATGTGAAGTGCGCGATGCCGGGAGACATGATTAGATATGAAGTAGATATGATTCTGCACATATATTTTCCGTTATCTGAGGATGAGCAATTGGAATATTGCCCGTCGAAGAAAAGGAGAACATTTTTGTGATAAGTTTGAATAGGGATAATATGAAGAGAGATTTCTGTGGATAGGATGCGAGGTACGTGTTTGAGAGAATGTGGCGGTCAGATATCGAGAAAGTCGATAGTCATTGTATGTTGAGAAGTAACATACTTATGCGACTGACTGACTTTTTTTTTTCTATTCCTTTATATTAGTTGTGCATGCAATCAACATAGCGCGAAAATCGTCCCTGCCGTTCCAATGAACATGTAAAGCACGTCTACGATGTTATGTACTTGCTCACCCTTTCATCCGAGATTCTCATTTGCAACCTTATTGCAAGATACTTCCCGTTCTTCGTCACAAAAATCCCTTTCTTCTTCTCTTTATTTTCTTCTCATTGATCGATTTACGAATTTCTTTGCGTGGATAGAGTAGGCGATGCTGGTGGCAGCGGAGCTAGTTTAAGGGGTGACTGTCGGTGGAGAAGGAGAGGGTGTTTTGGGGTTAAGGAATATAGTCATTAAGCAGCTGTCATCTGCGAGTTGAAGAGTTTCTTTATTTTTTTCCCTTTTCCTTTTTTTTATTTTTTTATTTTTGATTGGATTAAATCTCAAGTGTTATTATTATGTACACGATTGGTATTATGAGTGGATTCTGCTTGCCCACATGGATTATTCACGAAAATGGGTTGCTCTGCAACTGTTCGCCACTATTTTTATTACGTGACTATCGACGTGTTATGAAATAAATTATATTATTTAAAGATTAAATTGCCCCTGGTATCACAATATCAATAGAACGCCAGTGAAGCTTGTACATTATAATTATAGCAACAACACACTAGTCTACTGTTTATGGGTGAGTGGTTACCCAAATATTAAGGTCCAACGGCGGGAAAAGACTGTTATCAAATGTTTCTACCAGAACATTGATTCAAGTGCAAAAGATTATGATCAGTAGATTACGATCATCTTTTCTCTGATATAGTTGGAATTACGTAAATTAAGCCACCACTTTGAAATAACTCGTAAGCGAGTCTAGCATCAATTTTGTCTCTTGTGAGCTATTTCTGTCTAACAACAAGTCATGGGAGTTCGACACCCACGAGAAAATGTTGACATATGAAACAAAAACTCCAGGGAGCAATTTGGGTATGCAGTTGTTCTCGTGCTTGTCATTTGTCGCTGCGATTATTAGACATAGGTTTGCTTCCTATTTCAAGACAATACGGAGATACCAAGATGTTTGATCTTTTGATAATATACCAGCAAGTTATTATGAAGAAAGACTGCTCGCCCAATATGAAAAAATTCCATGGCATGCAAGATGACGGTAAGCCAATTGAAGACTAACCGGTTTAGCTTTTTTCTTGGCTTACATCATTTACATGTTTGTTATTCAGATTTATCCAATCACACTTGCATTTTTGTTACAAAAGTTCAGTTTACTGATACAATTAATGGCATCACCCAATTTTAATTCGGACGTTGCAACTTTTCAATGCTCGCTAGGGGGGGGGGGGAAACAAAGCTAATTATTACACGCTATGCGACAAAATATCGAATCATTTGTGCGATAGCTGTTGTGGATTGGATTGGATATATTGTATGTACTATATGTGCTATTACGACCTAACGACATTCCACCACATCCCCCCCCCTTTTGCGAGAGGGGAATTCACTTTTCAAACTATTTAATGCTAATTAAATTTTGCATTGAATTACACAGTGAAATTCACTTTAACGAAGTCTCACTTTAACAAAGATCGCTTTATAACGAAGTTCTTTCCAGAACGGATTCATATATTTCATATAAAAAGACAGTTCACTTAAGGTTAACGAAGCAAAAAATCGTCTTCGTTAAAGTGAATTTCACTGTGTATTTTCTGTTTTCTGGTTATGGTAATTATACCCTTGCATGTATGGTTTGTTGTTTGGTGTTCGAGGTAGTTCAACTTTAATAGCCCTTTATGGTAATAAAACCCCCAATTCAATTGCGCATCTGTGTTTAACGTTATTCATACATATTTTATCTGTGGGACGACCATTGCTATATTGTTCAGACCTATTTGGATGCTTTTCTGTACCCCCATTTAATGGGCTGGGGGGAAATACCGGCTACAAACAAATTATATAGTAAAGCTTGAACTGCAGAACTTTCAAAACTCGGAGACAATAATGATAATAATAACAATGAAACAAGACGTGCATTTATCAAAAAGTCTTAGTATGCTTTTTGCCATGTTTCTCTCGTCGTGAAACGAAAGATATGAGGTCGAGCATATAAAGTGCAATTATTCCCATGATCAAAGGAGCTAGACAATAAAAGAAATTGATATTATTGTATTACGCTGTATATTAATACAATGTTCTATGAAGTCAAAGACATGAGGAGCAATGATTGGATCGCAAGTCCGGATAAAGTAGAGAGTAATTATATTTATTAATTGATTGCAATCGGCTCTAGTTTTTGTAAGATCCCAATGTTTAAACACAACCAAAAACAGACGAACGTTTCATATCGGCGTAATTCGATTAGCACCTTGCATCCCACTCATCTCTTCATTCGAACGGGATCTTCCGCTAATCTGACTCGGGATTAATATTAAAAGAACATGTCTCTTTAATCGCCACAAGCAAAAGTCAGCTATACCGGCTGTCGAGCTTATTCCCACCAAAGAATGTTGATGGGGGAGGCGGAAGGTCTGCTCGGTTACCATTTGGGAAAACGAAGAATGTGTGAGAGAGAGAGATAATATCTCATACATAGAATGTATTGACTTAATTAAATGATAAAGTTCATAGTGAACAGTGCCACGTGTCACAGACATAATGAAAACGCGACACAAGTCTCCTGAAGTGTCAACCTGTATATATATATATTCATTATAGCCATCAACACCATATATAGACCTACGTCCTTATCCTCTTTCCGATATCTATACCAACTAAGTTTCCATTCGTTTAAAGTTGCAGGTCAACGAAAAAAAAAAGGAACAAAAATAATAAAACAAAGCGACTTCGACAAGGACATCTAATCTCATCATTCACACTCTTTCCTATCATTCTTTAAAAGTTTGCACAAACAGTTACTCAATCCCATTTGTAAACCAGTCCCGCTGAGCGGATATTATTTAATACAAAATTTGGCCTACCCTTTTTTTCTTTTTTTTTTTTTCAATTCAGAGTCGTGTTTGATGAGTTCTTAGTATTCGGATATTTGTCTTGATAGATAGATAGATATAGATATAGATATATCAACACATTATATAAACACAACACTTTCCATATACCCTTGTCCAATATACCATCCAAGATCAAATGGATAATTATATTTCTCTTCAGATCGTCAATCCCCAAAATCTCTTCCCCTCATTGGCTGCCATTTTCGCCTTCGCACCACTATCCCTCCTTGTCGGCACAACCGCACTACTCGCATTCACTCTCTTACTCCTTTCAACTCATACTACGGTCAAGTCTCCTACATCAAAGATCAAGAAGCATCCCCCAAGACTTTTCATGGATGCGAAGTCTAACGATGCCCAGATTGTGAATCAAAAGAAAAACTTGCTAGAAGTCGACGTGAATACCGGCAAGTCAAAGAAAACACGAAGTCGACCTAAACCACCCGTAGCTCGCGATACTCTGGCCATTCCTTCGACCAAAATACCAACTCCTACTCCTACGCCAAAGAGTCCATGCTTTGTGCATTCGTACATTGACCCGGCAAATAGGCAATCACTGACCGAAGTCATTACAAGAAGTGTTGGCGAGTGTAATAATTATGGCACGTTGGCTGAAACCGCCGTTAGCGTAAGGGAGATTTCTAAAAAGCTTGGTACGAATCAAATTGGACTGGGGAAGGGAAAGAGGAAAGGGGATTTGAGCTATAGCGTCATTGAAACCACCTATAGAATTCTAATTCTTAGGAGCAACTTTTTTCTTTTATACAAATGATGTATATGCTCACATATTACGCTTTCTCTCTCTCTCTCTCTCTCTCTTCCTCAACAATACCAGGTCAAGCGCGTATACATTCCAAAATAAAGACAGTGATGATAGTTACAAAGCCAGGTGACGGCCGCCTTGTCAAACTCACTCGCGAGCTTGCAATATGTTTGATCACTACACCACGATATGGCAAAAATCATGGCGTGACCGTTTACGTTGACAAGCAATTAAAAGACGTCAAGCGATTCGGCTACGAGTCATTATTGCGCGAATCCCCATATGTAAAAGACAACTTGAAGTTTTGGACAGCTGAGCTGTGCGCCGCTCGTCCCGAGATTTTCAACTTTGTTCTAACAGTGAGTTTATTTTCTCTGCACAATGATTTGCGTATGTTTGAATGCAATCTAACGTTCTGACATTTACTAGCTTGGTGGTGACGGTACGGTGCTTTATACATCTTGGCTCTTTCAACGCGTGGTTCCACCAGTAATGCCGTTCCATCTCGGTTCACTCGGATTTCTCACAAACTTTGACTTTTCCAACTACCGCAAACACCTCACTACCGCCATGGAAGACGGAATTCGCGTCAACCTTCGAATGCGTTTCACATGCACGGTCTACCATCGCGTAGCCAATCCCGATCATTTAAAGGTAAAAGCCAAAAGAGATGGTCTGACTGGCGAAGTTATGATGCAAAAACTGTTGGACGGAGAGGGAAGTTGGGAAGCCTTGGAAAAAGAAAAGAACGACGATTATCAGACAGGAGGTCAAGACAAGGTTCTGCCATGTTTTGTGACGCAAGCGGGTGAGACGTTCGAGGTCTTGAATGACTTGGTGGTCGATCGAGGTGCAGGACCATACATGAGCATGTTGGAATTGTTTGGTAAGTGTTGACCACTTTTTTTTTTTAAGTCAGGTTATCCTTGTTAAGAAACCTTGGCCCAAAATTTTTGATTGATATATTATTTGTGATTGTTATAGGTGATGATGAACACTTGACTACCGTTCAGGCCGATGGATTGGTTGTATCAACGCCGACGGGATCTACGGCGTATTCCGTATCAGCTGGGGGGTCTTTGGTGCATCCCGACATACCAGCTCTTCTTATCACGCCGATATGTCCCCATACACTCTCATTTAGACCTATGCTATTGCCTGATTCAATGGAGTTACGTATATGTGTTCCACATAATAGCCGAAGTACTGCCTGGGCTAGTTTTGATGGGAGAGGAAGAGTAGAATTAAAACGTAAGTAAAAATGGATTTAGGTGACAAACGCGTTAATCAGGAATCGAGATTAATACTTGTGCTAAACTTTCGATATTTTTCTCAATTTGATAGAGGGCGACCATATTAAAGTGACACCTTCAAAGTTTCCCCTTCCAACCGTCTGCATGTCGTCTTCATCTCAAGACTGGTTCAATTCTGTCTCACGTTGTCTACGATGGAATGAACGGGAACGACAGAAATCTTTTGTTGTTGTAGAAGACTATGCTAGTGATTCCGAAGCTGAAGACAGTGATCTCACAAAAGTAGATGAACAACCAGAGAGTATTGATCATGAAAAATTACATAACAGAGGAAGTGGACATTCGGGAAAGAAACATCACGAGACACATGTGTTTGCTTGTTATGGGAAAGATGCCGAGTCAACTAGTAGTGGAAGTGGAGATGAACGCTGATAGAATTGACCAGAAGAGGGGTTTAATTATTGTTTGAGTAACCGGCTTGGTTTTATTATTTTTTTCTTTTTTTATTGTACAGAAACCTCGTGTAGATAATTGTTCAAAGATTGCATATCATATCAGTTTGTACAGCTGAGAATAAAAAAAAAAAAAAAAAACTTCTTTTTTAGAATTCAATGTTGTATAGGAAGATTAATGTGAGTCCCTTTCAGCGGGGTATTTTTGAGGTGTTAAAATTTGCAGAACTTGATCTTGTGATCATGACAATGGTAAATAATGAAGTGGTTGGATTTTCTCGGTAAATTGGTAGCGTAATAGTAATGTTTTATTGGATGAACTCGTCTCTGACTTGCAGTACGCATTACAATAAAATTTTATATTTATAGTTTTGGATTTGTGATAGTATTAGTAATCACCAATACTAATTCCAATTCTATTATTAACACAATCAACAATGTAAATACAGATTACTCACTACAAGTGTTATTATTAACTAAATAGTGTTATTATTATTAACTAAATAGCGTGCCAAAATCCCAACTATTTAAAACTCAAACTTTTAACATTAACACTTCTATAACGGGACTTTATTATTGTGGATGCCTTGTGACCTATTTTACGAGTTTGATCTGCATGCAGTCGTTTGCCATTGCATTTTTGATTGATTGATTGATTGAAGGGATAATAATAATAATCCATGAAAGTAATTGCGGCATTCTTTCCATTGGGCAGCGTCAGTCTAGTGAGAAATGTCAACACTGGCCTAGGAAGTTTGCTTTCGATAAGTAGAACTGTTAATAGTGGTAGTCTAATTGGGGCTTTTGAATCGTTAAGACGGAAAAGTACTCAAACGTCTGTTGGTTAGTTGACTCGGTCAATTTGCTTGTCTTTCGTAAATGTCCAAATGTAACTCGTTCTGTCTATACATAATTTACCCACATGTGCCATCCACAGCCCCACAAAAAAATAAGCGTCTTGGGGGACCGTATCCGCTGCGTGTAGTGGATGGTAGAAATCCAAAGCGAATCCCACAACCCTATCGACTACGAGGAGTTCCTCGACTGCCTGATCCGCCAAAGATAGATCCCAACAGACCAATAGTACAGTATCCATATTTTGTTGAACGATCGCGATACGGGGAACTTCCTGTTTATTACTGTATCAAAAATGGGCGAACACGTCAATTGACCACTATAAGAAGAATTGAAGGAAATCTTCAGGTAAAAAAAAAACAAAACAAAAAAAAAAAAACTGATCTTTTTTTGCGATGAAGGATTTGTATCATTCACTGCTAGTTATTTGTAGGCTCTTCGCGATGATATCGTAAAAGAGCTGTTCCCAGGCGCATTGAAGGGCGAAGTAAAAATTAACGAAACGTCATGTCAAATAATCATCAAAGGAAACGTTCGAAGAGATGTCATGCAATGGCTATATGACAAAGGATTCTAATGAATAAATTCTAATCATGTTAATAAATATGTATATATTATAGAATGAATTTGTATCGTTTCTATTCGCATCGACTGGCCCCAACTTACCAGTTTCGTAGATCACGACTCGTATTTCCCCCAATGATCTACGCGGTTCGTGGTTTAGAGCCCACTTGCTTTTTGAATTGACACTATCCAAAACAAATGTTTACTCACAAAGCCATTTTCACAAATTCTATCGTGGACGTCCCTTCTTCTGCTTCTACAACCTACTCAGTCCCAACTTGTGCCTCTAAATCGTACGTTCAAGAGGACCATAACTATAACAAAAAACAAAAGATTTCTGAAAACGCGTCTGCTGCCTCGCGTTCCTCCAAGTCTGCCAGGAAGAATGCCGCTGGTACAAAATTTTCTGTATCAAACAATAAGAAAACCCAAGCAAATGGCATGCTTGCTCCAATATTATCGAGTGCAGCGAACGCGACTATATTCAGCTATTTCGGTAAAAAGGAAGAACGAAACACGAAAGGAAGAGGTATAGAGTTTTTTTTTTTTTTTGTGTTGGAAGGAGGTCTTTTGGAAGCCAGAGTTGCCAAGTTGGGTATACCTGAATACGGTTGATAATGCAGAGGATATGTGCGCCGACGCGAACGGTATCGAAGAAAAATGCGTAATGGGCGCTATGGAGAATACTACACATGACGTTCATACGTCTAAAGAATACAATCAAATGGGTTCTATATTAATAGTCGACAGCGATTATGACATCATTAACGTTGATGGCTTTCTTGACAATACTGGCACTGTTGGTAATATGGCACACGAAGGCAATGACAATTTGATGTCCGAGAGAATTCTCAGACATGATGGTACAAATGACAACATAGAAACCAGTATCATCTATCTGTCTGACGACGACTATAAAAGCGATATGCTTTCCGACAGCATTGGCGAGGATGTGGATCAATTGCATCCTTTATTCAAACCGCGTTTAACTAGACTCTCATCTAATGTAGGCAGATTTTATCAACCGCGCCTCCCCCCCTCCTTTCTAGAATTAAACTTGTTTATTAATCTTTCTTTCTTTTTTCACTGTCTCTTTATTATTACAAGACGAAACAATCTCATATGACGCAATGCATCCACGAGTCAACTGCCGCAACCGATACGTTATCCGATCCGTCTTTCTTATTTTCATCTTTTTTCTCAGTCAATACTCCCTTCACCTCAAATCAACCCGGTACAGTTCTCACAACCAACGAAAACGTATCAGCTTCGTTAATCGCAAAACTTGAAAGCGAGCATTTTTTTGCATCTGGTTCAGCGCCGATCAAACAGAAAAGTGAACACGACAAGCGAAAAGGATGGGTAAAAGGCAGCAAAAAGCGTTGTCCTTGGTATAAAATGTTACCAGGTGAGCTGTAACACTTTTTGGAATTGGGATTTGGGCTTGGGTAGGGGAAATCTGACAAAGCGTTGGATGACAACGAAACAGATACGACAATTACCGTAGACGCATTTAAATATGGGCAGATTCCGCACTGTACTGCTTATTTTCTCAGGTGAACATACTGCTCTTTCCACAACTCGTACTGCATTATACTATTTTTTACAAGTATTCCCAAACATATTATTTGTTATCAAAGCCATTTCCACTCTGATCATTACGGAGGTCTTTCCTCGACTTGGACTCATGGACCAATCTACTGTTCAACGGTGACTGGAAATCTCGTAATTCAAAATCTCCGCGTAAAGCCGGAATATGTCCACAAACTCCCAATGGATACGGAAATTCCAATCGAATCCGAACGCGTTACTGTAACCCTGATCGATGCAAACCAGTGAGCAAAAAATCTTGTTGACGTAAATTTACTGTTTTGTATCAGGGGGGAAGGTTGCTGTATACGAACGATGAGGATATTAACTCTAAATTATTTATAAAGTTGTCCAGGATCGGTGTTGTTTCTATTTAAACTCATAGATAAAAATAATAAAACTGTTCGACGGTACTTGCACACTGGCGATTTCCGGGCATGTCCAAAGCAAGTCCTTCATTCGGCCATTGCAAACCTGTAAGATCCAATAGACGTGTTATACCTTGACACAACATATCTAAATTCACGTTATCGTTTCCCAGCTCAGGAACAAGTGGTGAAAGCTGTAGTATCTTTGATAGGCAAAGCAATCAAAGGAGGTGGGTTGGCACCGGTGAGTAAGGATAATGTGAGTAAAAAGAAGATGGTAAGAGATCCGTCCCAGATGGCTCTGGATAATTGGCTAAAACTGGCGAATGGTAAGAAAATTATTAAAGAGGAGAAACAAGTAATCGAAAAGAAGAACATTCATGATATAAACGGAATGAGCGCGCAGAAAGATAAAAAGGATTATGCAAATGGGATTGCATTATCTGAGAGTAAGTTGCTGGTTGTCGTGGGGACATATCTCATTGGAAAGGAAAAGATATTTATTGGTAAGGTTTAATCCAACTATGAAATGACACTGCAGGTTTTTGGATTTCACTAACATTCCGTTTGGGGATAGGTATTGCTAAAGCTCTTGGTTCCAAGATATACGTGTCAGCAGAGAAACGGCGCCTTCTCGCATGCCAGGAGAATAAAGAGCTTGACTGTCTATTAACAAACGATCCTTGTGAAGCATGTGTTCACGTTGCCTCAATGGCTAGCATCAGACAAGACGTATGTTTGTTTATATTGTCTTTATATTCTCTACGTACTTTTTTTTTTTTTACTAATCTTTCTCGGTTGCGCCACGTCAGCTCCTGGTGCAATATTTAGACAGTCTTCGACCTCGATTCTCTACAGTTATAGGGATCCGTCCAACGGGATGGACATATAAACCAACGGTTGAACAACCATTCCATACAACCGAGGTTCTATTAAACACTCCCCCCATTTACTCGGATGCTAGTATAAAACCGACTTATACATCTTCAGTATGTCAAATATTTGGCGTTCCGTATTCAGAACACTCGAGTTTTCGTGAACTTGCTGCATTCATCATGTCGTTGAATGTGAAGCACATTGTACCGACGGTTAATATTGGGTAAGAGGGAAACGTGTGAAATTAAAGGTTGATTTATTATGAAGTTATTGTTGACATTTGTTACTGTTTATAGGACCGAGAAGAGTTGCAAAGCTATGAATTATTGGTTGTGTAAATGGCAAGAGACTAAGCAGAAAAATGGAAAAGTTGTTGTTGTTCCATATCCTTTATTAACCCATTGGTAGTTATTGGGGATAATTTCGCGGCCAGGCAAGCAATAATTGTATTATACGTATTTTGCGTTGTCAAAGTTGATGCATCAACAGTCTTGTCTGATAATAAACCAAAGCTTTGAAAAAATTATCTTGATTGAAATGCACGTAATTAATCGAATGGAGAGAATATACGTGTATAACCTTGCCAATCTTCAAAGTTCACTCGCGTATCCTTCAGTGTTTTAGAGCCAAAAAGGTAAACGGGTTAATCAAATACTATAATAGGACACAATCGTCAACGGCAGTTCTATTAAGGATGTACTTATATTAATAAGATTCTTTTTTAGTCGATTGCTTTTCTTTTCAGTCAAAATAAGAAATTTCTATCCATAATTATAAAATGAAAGAAGCTTTGTTCGAACTTTTAGAATAATTTTTATTTTATTTTCTTTTACGTAGCGTAATTTAGTATGGCATATGCACAGATTTCTTCTTGTGGTTGCACCACAAAACAAGGAATGTAGAACAGTGCTCGCTTTGTATTGTGAGGTTACAATGACATAACTTGTATGGCAACATAGTCATAGCTTAAGTCAGTTACTATTAGAACACAATACGAATATATAATAATAATACCGAATAAACTTTGGCTTTGAAAATTCCAATTCCAACAAACAAAGGTGAAATTTTTACCAAGTCCTTGTCGAGTTCTTTTTGAAGTTTTACGCTGTAATAGTAATAGTAAATCGAGGTTTAAAGTCTTGAATGTTTATTCTCGAGCTGTGATGAATGGGAACGTATATAACAGTATACATAATGCCATTTGTAATTTTGAAAAGATTACTTGCTGCGATACTTCGGGAATTTTGACGAGTCCTCGAGTTTGACAAAAGAATCGAATCAGAGATAAGATTGTATTTAACTCGAAAATTACAAGTTACGCGCGCAGCTTCCACAACCCAACTATGTATTGATAAAGACAATAGTTATTATTATATATCAATAAACAAAGATGATGTTAATATTAATATTAATGCAAACCCGTATGAGGTATTTTATTACTATATTTCATCACCTCTGCATCTGTGGCGTGCTTTAGCCATGACTATACTAGAAAGTATTAGCGTTGTCGTTTTATTGGCTTTGTCTTAGATAAGAGAAATATCGGTTATTATCGGCATGACATGTGGCGATTAAAGCATTTGTTGCAAATTAAAAACACAAACAATATTTCGAAATTCTGATTGGGTTGAACTGTTTTTACCCTGATATCTTTATTTGGCAAGACCAAAGCGGAGTTAGTGTAATGTGATAAACCAAGTTGACCAATCTCAACATTGGTGCTACAACATTTTAAATCCACTAATTCGAAAATGCACGCCTAACACCTTTGTCTGCCATTTGTATAAGTTCCTCGCGACAGTCTGCCATTTGTAAAAAATACACTTTACTAAAGAGAGTCTTAAATCTTTAATGGTAAAGGGTTGAGTGTGTTGTTGCCTGTTAATATCCGAATTTGAATTTGTTAATTCTTGCAAATACGCCGTGAGATCAATTGTGACAAGTATCATTATACTAACAATGTACGTTGATTACCTTTTTTATAAATCCCATTACAATGTAATTACTACAAAAAGCTGTTTGTTATTCACTCGATTTTTATTTATGATCTTGACTTTCCTCACAAGTCATTGTGGTAAATGGGAATGAGGTTGTTACAAAGCCATTAGACAATGTATGCTTGCATTATTGCGACCAACGCAAATCATCGTTATTGTTGTACAAATCAATAATACTAAAGTAGGTAAGAATACACAATATACCACGCAAAGAATTATCGGACACTCTTCCACATTTAGACCTTATTTGAATACCTGACACCTTGATATGTAATTATAAAAGTGCAGCACGAAAGAAGACCCTCGCTCTCTCTAATCAAAAAACTTTCTGCACAGCATAATATTCTATACAATGTCGGCTATCCAGCATCCGTTATCATTCGATACACAGTCAAATCTCAAGCTTGCTTCGGAAAAGAGCGAAGTAGCTACAATTGCTCCTTCTGAAGTCCCCGATTTAGATAATGCATCTTTATACAACTATGCAAACAACGATTGCGTAGGCGATCGAGCGCTCCTGATAACAAAAGCCTCGCTGGCCTCTTTACAAACAGTTGGTTCATACAACTCGGGACATGCACGGTGTCATTCGGAATCCGCTATTCCAACCGAGGATGGATTGGCGACTCTTGATAAAATGAATAGGCGCATAACGTATAACGACCTTAATCTTAAACAACTGCCACAAGTTGATTATATAGACCAACTTGATATTACGGGGATATACGGAGGAGCATGTGAGTCCAGTTTAAATCATAGAGCTCTCTTTTTGTTGTTAACAAACAACTGACACAATCTTTCTTCAAATCCAGTATTTCATCATGACAGTCCGTATGATCGTGCTCTTTCATACCACTCTGAAGCGCCGGCACAAGCATTTGGTGAAAGCAACGACGTTTTTCCAACACACAAAGACTCGTCATATTACGAAAATTCCTATGCATCGTACGGACCCAACCCCGTCAGGTATCGAGATAGTTTTCTCGAGGGTTCAACGGCATACGGATTCCGATCGAAAGATGACGATTTAGCCAAATTCAAGAGAAAGAGCTTCTTCAAACGGATCAGTCGAGCCGGATTTCAAGGAAAGAAACAAGAAAACAAGGAAACGTAGGATTCATTATGCGTAGCGGAATAGAATGTTTAGAATTGTCGAGGAGAGAGAGGGAGGGAGGGAGAGAGAGGGAGAGAGAGGGTAGCTAGTAGGCATTGAGTCAAGCAAAAAGTGGGCTCTTTTGTGTCATACATTACATATAGTATATGTATCATACTCAAATTGTGAACGACTTAGGGTCTGTTGTAATATAGAATAAGATACTCTTATCATACCAGAACATTCATAATATATATTAATGGGCACATACACCGATCAGTAAGATGATGTGCACTGAATTATATGCGTGTAATATTAATACTGCAGAGGTTGCATTCACGAGTTTATCTGCCAGAACGCGTTTTCTCTTATTTATTGAATCGACTCATTCGATCAGAACTGACTTTGGTATTCGTATGGTAGTTTAGTTAAAAAGGAATGCAGGCCCAGCTAAAAAAGCCAAGGATTATCCAAAAGTGTTTTTATAATCATTGCAACTTCCTTTTTATCATAATATATAACCAGATCGGACAATCTTTGGGTTCCAAACTTAGCCTACACTTGACAATGCTGTTTAAGAAAAATCTATCAATTAATATTTAATATCAATCTATTGTCAGTCAAACTTAATAAAAATGCCTTTCTTTTTAATAGATTCCTTCGCTTGCTCCGTGTTTCTGTTTTGTATCTTTGTAGCATGTGATCTGGTTCTTGCTTTTCAAATTGGAGAAATCGCTTAGATCCATTCAGCTTGTCTATTCGACATCACATCAATTTTCCTTTTATAATTGTTTCCGTAATCAAAAATTCCTTTTTCGATAATTCCATATTAATTTATTAGGTGGAATCGCCGTTGGGTTAAAGATATTAATCCTAAGTTGAGACTTAATTAGTTCGATTTTCCCGTCATTGTACACAGATAAATATATAGAAAAATGATAACGCACGCACATGCAGATATTTAAGTCGAGTCGTGAACAACAAAATTATAACATTACAAACAGTCACAATTCTCCCTGGATTTATTCTTAGGTCGTTTGTTCTATGTAAATCGTAAATATAAACCTACACCCAGTTCATCTTTCATCCTTGGTTTCACTGACTACTGCTGACGACGACTCTGTACTTGTCGACTCGGTGATCGGTTGTGGGGATGTGATCACTTCACCTCCGATGGTACCTGCGAACAAAAATGCAGATAATGGAGTTTAAGAAATAATTATGTGCTGTCCATGATGGTACGCGAATTTCATAAATACCTTTGTGAACGAATTCCAATGTCAACGCTATATCTCTCATATCCTTTTCTATAACCTGAGCCCAGTTCTCCACATCGCCCAGTTCCTATTTGAAAGAATGATTGCAACATATCGTAAGTAACACTATAATTAGATATTAATAAATAAAGGACTCTCCAATATATTTGACCTTCAGAGCATTGCTAAAGTTCTCAACCATGGTGAGCCATTGCTTAGTTTGTTTCGTATATCTCGCTGTTGCAGTTGAAAGTTGACGAGATTCCGATTCGATTTCACGCTGAGTTTTAAAAATTAAGCTGACTCTATTCAATAAAACAGATCGAAAGGTTACTCACGTGCCCCATAATAAACTATAGGTTAATGTCAGGCTGACCTTTCATTCAAGGCATCTGTCAAAGCGTCTGCCGTTTCGTTAACCGCTTGGATAGCCTCTTTACGGAGCAGTTCTATATATAACCGTAATTTTTGCTGTATTAATTACATATACTTGTAAATCGAATCTAGTGTTGATATCTAACCATTTTTCTTTCGTATAGCCTGCTGTTTCTGTGTATGTTCTCTTACAAGACGCGAAAGCATTGTTAACAAAGTAATATCGTTGCAAATAACGCCACATGTTTAAGATTTGGACAGGCCAAAAGCGAAGAGAACCATAATTGCCACACTGGTGACACAAATTCTTGGAAACATTGATTAATATTAACTAGACCTCATCATGCGAGTTTCTGCCAAAAAAACTCCAGTTGAGCAGCTTCTGACACCAATTTTCAGCAAGTTGACTGCCTCTCACAGAACAACCAAGTCGTAAATATTGAATGCTAAAAACTGCATATAAGCATTTCCATCGCTCACCTTTATCACTTCGCGGTCAACTCTCGACTTTGCCTTGTACATTTCCTCGCCGTTTCACGTCTATCTCACCGCCAGCATATCGCAAAATGTCCACAATTCATATAGCCGGAGAGCGCATACCCGTGACAGCCACTTACCCAGAGATTAACGTTTCAGCCGTCTTGGAATTTGCACCATTCAAGGAATGGGCTGATGCAATGTCCAGCGAAAAAAGTCAATCGGCAGAAAGGAATAATTTGGAGATTAAAAAGATCGAGATACAGAACGTTGACTATTTTGGCTCGAAAATTGGATTTGTAAAGTTCAAAGTGGATGCGAGACTAGTTGATAATGGAAAGAACGTTCCCGGAATTATATTCATGGTTGTACTGATTCTTCTACAAGACTTTTGTGTTGGGAACCGTTTTTACAAGATGATTAATAACTTTCCCAATTTGTTCGATTTGCAAATTTCAGCGTGGAGGATCGGTTGCCGTTCTCCTAATCCTTAAATCTAAAGATGGTGACAACGTGACGGAAGAGCATGCTGTTCTTACTAGCCAAGCGCGTCTCGCTGTCCCTTCACTATCATTTCAAGAAATTCCTGCAGGTTACTGCTGTTCCTTGGCTTCCCTCATGTAACAAAAGCATCGCCCCAACCTTAACATCAAAAATTACTGTATGTGCTTCTTTTTTATTATTATTTCATTTGAAATTAGGAATGCTTGATGGATCAGGAAATTTCTGCGGAAAGGCCGCAGAGGAAATAAAAGAAGAAACGGGTATCGAAATAACAGAAAACGATCTCATAGATATGACGGATCTAACCCATGGCACCGCATTCCGCGGCGTCTATCCATCACCAGGCGGGTGTGATGAATTTATGCGGTTATGTTTATGTGTTAAAGAAATGAAACGAGAAGATGTTCTGAAATTAGAAGGAAAATTGAGCGGGATGCGAGACCATGGAGAGAGCATTACTGTTAGATTAGTAAAATTGGATGATCTATGGAAAATACCGGATATGAAAGCATTGTCAGCTTTGGCTTTGTATCACGCGTTGAGAAAGGAAGGGAAGATATAAAGAAGAAAAAAAGGAAAGGGGGGTGGGGGAAAGACCACCAAGTAGATGAAAAATGAAAAAGGCTAGTGATTTTATTATGCATATTAACTTGTCTCTCTCAATCTATGACTGATTTAAATAGATCCCGTAGTTTTATGCATTTGAACTTTTCAATTATCTGTACAAGGTTAATATCAGCATCTAAGAATCCAGATCCATTTGTTGCTGCGTTGGCTCGATAATCCTAACAACCCGTGCTTTAACTCTATCAGAAGGCGCTTTGATAAGCTCAATATGTCGTTGTACTTCGCGTACATTGTCGGCTTTTTCACGCTCCTCCTTTCCAGCCATTCTGTACGATAGAAACAAGAATTAAATAGTGTTCCCCTGATTGCATCTTACACTTGTACTATTCGTGCTATTCTGTTCTATACAAGATTCCAAATAAACTGCCTTCCAAACTCACCTGTTCTTGTAAAATACCCGCTCACGTCGTGCTCTGATCTCGGCAACTCTCTTCATTGCCTTTAATGTTGTTGACATAAGATCACGGTCATAACGAACTGGCATATTACGTCGTTTTTCAAACTCGAATGTGGAATCCTAGAGAGAGAGAGAGAGAGGAGAGAAAAGGAAGCAATCATAGTGATTACAAATGAAAGTGCGGATAGAATATAAAATGAGAATAAAGAGATAATCTTTACGTACAATTGTCATTTCCTTTCCAATTGCTTTCCTAAATGCTTTAGTCCATCGAACTTTGCGTGGATTGCGTTTATGTTTGAATGCAGCGTGGCATTTGCTCCTGCAAAATCGGAAGACCTATTTTATATGAAATGTAAATAAGTCAAACTTGTTTTATCATTATAGCCACACAAGCAAATAACTTGGTTCTCATGTTAATTCAGAATTCTCAAAAGATGATAAGCGTTCGCAGGAGGGGGTTTACATAAAAGTTTGGGGTGAAAAGCTAACATTGATCAAATAATGTATTACCTCAATCTTTACATGTTAATAATCAACAAGAGAAGACGCGGCAACAGTAATTTATTATAATTTACCTTTATAAACTACAGACATAAATTGATATTTGACTGCTATTGTCTAGCTGAATCGAAGATTTTTCATATCCCTCGACTATAAAACTCAAAATAATAGTCAACAAGTGTTGGACTTGAGAACCGAGTTCTTTGTTTGTATGGCCTATCTAAGGAAAAACACGGATTTATATGATAGAGACATACTTTGCTGTCATTCCTTACAAACATTATCCCATGACCAGGATAAACTGTCGAAGAACAGAAGTAACACTTCTCTAAACGCATAATTCGTATAGGAAAGAAGGGTGATCAAACGTCTACTGATCGTCAACCAAAATTTTTTAGCAGTGGTAAACATCACGTGAGTATAGCTGAACATTTAAATAATTTAATTGCAAAGACAGTATACAGCTTTCGGGGACGTAGCTCAACTGGTAGAGCGCTCGCTTCGCATGCGAGAGGTACCGGGATCGACGCCCGGCGTCTCCATTTTGCTGTTAGTTGCCCAAGTTCATATTGATTATAATATATTAAATATCTGATTTACACGTCACATTTTCCTTTGTGTTCAGTGTGTGGTGTTTATTTATTTTTACAATCGCACACCAGTTATTTGATTTGAATATAGATCAAAATTCTATTTCGAAACTATTTGTTCTATATAATCTCTCACACTACGTGCCTTAACAAGTAAATTAAAGCAATTATATTAATCTGAATCTAATTATTATAATCTATGGGGCCAGGGAGTTTGATAGTAATATTATCGTCTATTGCAATCTCTTCGCAGTCCTCCTCCGTAACACCAGATTCGTGAACAAGACAAACGAAGTCTGTAACCTAGGCGTTATTATAAACGTTAGCGTAGTGTTCAACAACTAATAAAGACTTGCAAGGAGTCGCTTAGGTTAAAATCTCTAGCTTACTTGTTTCAAGGCAATCATGGGATGATGCCAGACACCAGGAAAGTAATTAATGCCTTGTTTAGAAGACCCAACAAAGGCACGTAAAGTTGATAAATCTGGCTTGTCATCTGCAAAATCAGACAATAATTACAGTTAATAATAACGGCTCAAGCAATCAAAAATCTACTCGGAATTGGAAATCGTACCTTGCCCGTTTAAACAAACAATCACCAGATATCCCTCACTACTTCCATCTAATGGAATGAACGCCTGAGAGGAGTATAAATGACGTTCCAGTAATTTTAGTTTAAATGGAAACTCGGTCGTCGGTTGACAATGATAAAGACAGATATTTTGCTCAGCTTTTGATATGAGCTTGCCGTCCTGTGTTATAGCAGATTGTCGAAAGTTCGCTGCTTTCGCTATATGATTGTATTTGCGAGCTGTCCCCTGATTTGCAGGGGTCACTCGAATACCATGCGTAATCGACATTGCAAACGGAGAATTAAGGTTTGATTCGGCAAATGCCTCTATCACTTGTCCGTATGCTGCAAATTGATCGTTTGTCAATGGTGCAGCATCAATCGCGTAAGACGAAGAGGTGTTGTGTGAGTCAACCGAATGTCCGTTTGTTTCGCCGTTGTTTGTCAACGCAAGTTGACCAAAGAGACGCAGTCGTTTGATACCGCCGTCTTTAGATAATTGTATTGTTAGCGAGCTATATTAATATATCTAAATCCGATCCGAATGCAATTGGCAAAAAATCATAGTTACCGGGATACATGGTCATTCTAACGTGACTGAATTGCCAACGAGTTTCCTTCAGCCGAAAGTAATGTTGCTTATCTGGCCCTAATTTGGACCGCGGCAGAATGTTTTCCCATTCGGTCGTGTCATCAGGAATTTCCTGCGCCAATCAATGCACGTCAATACATGATTTCCGAAAATTCCCAGCAAAAAACAGTTCAAAACGACTGACCAAGTCCGAGAAACACCCGTCAAGCATAACACTCTCGGGAAAATTTCCTTTAAAATACGCTGTATCAATCTCAGCGTCTTTCAAATGTCCGGGAGCCCCGAGCCGAACAATAATCCAGTCGCAATGTCCAGGGACCCTGGACCTTTTGGTCTCCCATCCACCGCTCATGTCCTTCCCACGACCTGGGAGTAGTATATTGTCCTTTGCGCCAAAATGTTGGTCACTACATGCGACCACTTGGCCTCCGTTACCGATGAATGCCAGATCAATGGTGGCTCTTTTGTCGCGCGGCCAAATGGGCCGTACATTCCCATAAACTCGAAACCGAGCCTATTTAGATTGACTGAGCAATTTAGAGCCTCCATTGACATTTGGAGTTAATATTAGATGAAAATGTTCGTACTTACAACACCGCCGTCTGGATATATGTTCAGCCTGACGTGAGTATAGCATTGTCGGCTATTTGGTGTTTGAGCTTTGAAATAATGTGATGCACTAGGGCCTAGGTCGACTCGAGGCAGTATCTCAACCCACTATAGAAAATGTATTCGAGTTAGCATATGTGGATTAACTGGGTACTTTATGATCACAGATCGCGGAAAACTCACGAAAGTATCATCTCCCGGCACTGGATCTTTGTCTGGAGAATGACACCCTTCGACGTTAGCAGCCGGAGGATGATTGCCATTAAAATACGACGTGTCAATATCAAACGCATCAATTGTCCCCGCAAAAGCGAGTTTGATGATAACCCTTTGCAAAGTTAAAAGAGTGAGGATTAGCCGACGCGGCCAATTTCGACGAATAATTGTAATCAGTCTCACTAACCAATCGTAACTATGATTGTGTCGACGGGTTTCCCACCCGTCATACCAAGCACCCCGATCTGTAAATCTGGATGGATCTCGCACAGGTTTTTCTCTCTTTATCAAGTTCTCTGCCTCGGCAAAGAATTCGTCGCTGCAGCTCAAGACTTTCCCACCTAGTAGCGAACAAGCAAGATCTATCCAACAAAAAAAATGTTAAACGAGATTTCCAACATCGCCTCTTAAGTAATAGCCACTAAAAATCTATCACATACCGATGTAGTTGGTCTTGATGTCCTTTTCCCTATCAGTACTCGTATTTTGGATGTATTTCTCTGGCATTTTGATTGAGACGAGTTTGTAGTGCACGTTGATAAAATTAATTTACGAGACGAAACAGGCCCATTTAAGGGTGGCGGTTATCACTTTATATGCGATGAAGAATGCTTTTACTCCTTACTCCAAAAAGCTAGATTATTGCATGCCCACGAAAATGTTTACGTTAGTGTCACTTGGAGTTTGCATCAATCATTACAAAACCAGAGTCAGGATAGCAGTATAAGCTTCGGGGGTGCGTTTGAGCAACCAAAAATGCTCCCATATACAGTATAACAGCTCCCGATAGCCGATAAGCTGATAACGATGATACCAGACGATAGCGAAGATCGACATCGAAATTTAATATTAATATAGAAAGATGACCTGATAACGAAGCGAAGGATACCTCGGAAAATTTTAGGATGTCTATCATGTGATTAATATGATAAGGATAATATAGCATAACAATAGAAAGATTCTAACGATAATATTTATTTTCTCCCATTATACAATGCATGTGTGAATGTGAGCATAACATATTAGTATTAGTGCATATACAATACTTTACACATTACTGATAAGCGTTATTATTATTGTTACATCATCTCGTACATCTGCATAAATTCCCATATTACTGTTGATCGATATAATATTTAGTAAACAATGATAATGACAATTTGTCCTTTTCTGAACCTTTGGTGACGTTATTGATGACGCATGAAAAGCCATGGTAATGGCGTCATAACCAATCGTTTGTATTTCTTCTTAATCGCCGAACTTTAGCATCTACTTCTACTTACTGTACATTATTTTTACAAAAATGACCGACCATGAGGTAATTGAAAACGTTTTGATAAATGTAGTACTGCTGAAATACCTCACTAAGTCTAGCAGCTTATGAGCAAATAAGAACACGCGTTTAGCCAAGCAGAGCCTTGCGTTATAAAGCCTTTGTTTATTATTACTTTATTTTTGTCTTTCTATTATTCCACGACTTGGAATTTTTATCCGTATGTCATAAGCTATAACTTTTTTATGGACGAAAGACAAAGAAAAATTGGATTTATTTGCGAAAACGTCCGACTCGACAAATAAAAATAAATGAAAAGTAAGGTTTGGATGTTTTTTGAAGGGTTGATATAGTAGCAATGGAAAACAGTGCACGTTTGAAATATCAACTTAGCATACATGTGCAACAAGTAAACAAATACGCCCGAAACCAGTTAACTGAATATGGTTACTCAATCATAACTTTCCTATCGTTCGTAAATTGTTCACAGTTCTTAAAAGAAAAATACGGGTTATATTCTCACTATCTCGAATGAGAACATATAACTTAAATTTCTTTCCGGCAACTTGAAATCCAAGGACGCCGAACTCATTTTTCTATAAAACATCACCCTATTTATGCCGTCGTTGAGCTCCCGCCACAGTTTTACTCTATCATCGTCTTCCTTCGTGTCGTTACAAATAACCCGTGAACATTCGCAACTTCAACTCGTAGTTACTTCGCGATAAACATGACGTCTGGTCGCTTTCCATTTATTCCCCTTCTGTCTTTGCTAGCCACGCTTTGTCGCTCCGCCCTGTATGAAAGAAATATAAATAAGGAATTTTCTTAAGAAAAAATAGAAAAGAGCCCGTACACTCACGTGCTAAAATATGCAGATGATCATCTATTAGCGTCGCCCGAATATGATATCTCTGCATTCTAGCAAATTTGCGACTAAAAGCTGGGTTCTTCTCCTGAAAGTATAAAATATCGTTATTGTATAATCTTATGAACGGTTAACGTTATAGACCCAATATCGTACTTACAAAGTATCGACAATTCTAACACTAATATCTCTAAGAACCTCTTCGCTTTCCCTCCAACTCCTATGCGAAAGCTTCTGCGGCGGTATCTCCACAGATGCGTCATCATAATTTTTTAGAAATTCATCGCATATGTCTTCAACTGAATGGGAGTACTTCCTCTCACTGGTTCCTAATAATATATTTTTATTCGTTTTCAGTATGACTAGGCGTCACCTAATAAACGAGCAATGTTTGCTATATTCTTTTCGCCTCGTTTATTCTCTCGTTCGTATAACTCCATCAATTCCTCATGGCTTATTTTTTTGGTAGAGTTAGAGAGTGGTACCACAGCGCCAGTTTGATCTTTCAAAGAAAGTGTACCCTGCACATTAGAATTTATGTCAGGAGAAAGGGCGCACTGCATCGAAGGTAAGATTGAATTAGACGTAGTAATAAGCTGGTTCCATTCGACTCTACCAAACTATTGTCTTCTCCAAAATTTATATAAGCGAGAATTTAACACGTGATATTGAGCCCTAATTTTTCTATAGGTTTAGGATTGACGTTACGATATTTCATAATATCTTCATAATCTGCAGAGGATAATTTTGTTGCATACGCTTTCTCTGAGGTTTATTCATATTGGCAGTATGTAATATCGATAGTGTTGATATAATTAATAAATTTTACATGTAAACAAGTACTATAATAAGCACAAGCATGTATTTATTGAGGAGAGCTGAACTGTTGAACAAACCCACATGCGTATTTGACACTTTTTGGGCTAAAGTCCGTGGTAGATATTGAGTCATTTCTCCGTATTGATTGTCCGATTATCTTAGAGGTTCTTTCCTGGGACGACCATTACCTCACTGTTCCTTTTTCTTTAATGTTGTTATAAATGATGGAAAGGATGTTTTGTTGGTGATGAATTCCTTGGTCATTCGAATGCTCGCACTCCATAAATGTAATACACATTAACCTTAGAATGGGCATTGTGTTTGTATATTAAACAGGACAGGGTTGCAAACAGCCTCAAATATACTTCCAATTATCGTGTTTATTTTCCATTTCGAATCGGACAGTAAACAAACGCGTGAGACGCGTTTACGTCCCATGAAAAAATCTGGTTTTTTTTGTTACACACTGTAAATACAAACTCAGCGCATGAAGCAAAAAAAAAGGTTATAAAGACAGCAAAGTACAAACCAACGTAAATCGCGTTTCCTGAACTAATATCGCGTTTCCTGAACTAATATCGCATTTCTTGAACGAATATCGCATTTACTGAACTAATAATGGTAAAGTTAATTAAAATACTTTATAGATCCATATTGAAGACTTATCACACTTTGCATTTTGTAGGCGCAACCAAACTTCGCGAACTTAAATCAGGCTCTTGGAACAGTATCGCAAGAACTAGTTCGATTTCAAAATCTGCCAGCCGTAAATATCGCAAATCAACTCCAGACGATTCAAACCACTTTAACAAATCTTCAGACGAGTGTAACAACTCTTCAGACGAATGTAACAACTCTTCAGACGAGTGTAACGACTCTTCAGACGACTCTTCAGACGAGTGTAACGACATTGTATAGTATATGTTTTTTAAATGATGCTGTGTGTTACTCTAAAACAACCAAGTAAACAAACACGACTTCATTGTTTTAGGGACACAAGGAATTATGCCAGGACGCTAAATTCGCGCATTTTCAGTGAAACTGATAATATTGCTATGCTTCCGAACTTACAAAATCAAAATCCACCCAATTTTCCAGCTAATGTACAGCAACTTCGTGGGCTAAATGGTTTGTAAGATAAAAGTATAACTCAATTGTTTTCCATTCTTTTTTAATAATTACGAAAAAAATTTTATATAAAGGACAGAATATGGATGCTCTCTTAACTTTTTACGGATTGGCTACGGACGGGACTCTAAACCAAAGACTCAAGCGATTTTCTGAGTACTTAGGAATAAAATTACTATAAATATACTTAGTGATTGCACGTGTAGTTCTATATAACGTAAAATTTATTCCTCTTGATATGATTATGCCATAAATTCACTCAAAAAATTTAATTGTTAGTAATAAATCTTTATTGCATTCAGTAAATAAAGGTTATGATATGTCTGCAGATCTATCTTTCGCTTAATGCAAGTATTTCGGAAAATTCTAACTTGATATCATCTTGCTGCTCGAAAAATTGCAACATAACCTCAGCAGCTTTGCAGGCTTCTTCGACAGATACACGTTTCTTCACTGCCTTTATCTCTTCTTCATCTGACTTTGCCTGTTCTTCCCCTAAAATCGTCTGTACAATATCTTCATCTGTAACGCTATTAACAAAGACTGCTTCTTCATCATCAAGACGTAAATACTCCTCAGCGCTTATGGAATCTGTAAAAGAAAGTTTATCGATTAAGGATTGAATTGAATTACATTCTTCAAATGCAGACACGAAAGGTCCGTTCTTGTATCTTCCATACAGTATCCCTCAAGGTTTCTTCACACGGAATTATTCCAGTTGCCTTCCAACAGTTCGTTGTCGTTGATTTTTTTACACTAGACCAAGCAGATGCAGCAAACCTAATAGCATCGGGTGGTTATATCTACACTTTCGCTGTCTATTCGCTGTACTTTATTATCAACCCGTTTTGATGAAGAGATTCCTTAGTGACACTAAGGAATCAAGTATAATTTTACAGTAATAATGGATAATCCATACTTTGAAACTATTGATGATTCCCGCATCGCACAGCTGTAACACTGTGGTCATATTTGGGGCAAAGCAGATATTCTTCTACCTAAATCGGTTGAATTAATTCCAATAGCCCGCAGTGGTAGGATACAATGGCAAGATCAACTTTTACCCAGCGATTCCGAGTCACAGCAATGTGGAAAAATTTGTCTGAACTGTGCAACTTGAGATGAGATTTGATGTCTTTGTAAAAAGTCTTGATATGATCGTTGGAAATGAGGTTGAGGATATAATAGCCAATGCATCTTCACAACTTATGAGATTTTGCTGATATAACAATTCCAAATAACGAGGCGCGATGTTTGTTTATTTATTATCTAATCTCGTGATTGTGTGATACGAATCGAGTGTAACAAACAAATTTAATAATCGAATTTAAATTTTTTTTCCTCACGCACATATCTCTTCCTAACGTAAAAACGTTTTTGTAATATACATTTCGTAAATAAATCACTTTAATGTCGCCGCCAGCAGGGAATAAGAACCATGCCGAATCAGGTTTGGCTAGATTATTGGGATCAGGTACATCAGGCGTCTTGGAGTTGTTAGTATTCCATCCGGTGGATACTATTGCAAAGCGATTAATGACTAATCCGAAGAAGGTAAGCTTTTTTTTCCAATTGGTTTTGAATTGTATCGAGAGATGTTTATAAGAATAATCGATATACGACGATGACGTGATAAGCTGATCACACGATTATCTGTATAGGTGTTTGTCCCTGGGGCGCCAATATCAAAGGGAATTGCTAGTTTGAACGTGGCTATTTTCAAGGCATCAATTACTTTTCCTACGCTTCGTGCGACTCGTGCCCACTTTCCCTTCGCCATATCCCTCTGACTCATCGATCAACTATCGTTCCCGTCCCCGTCCCACGTCCGTTTCCTTCGTGTAGGATGCAAGCTCGTCAAGAGCCATATACAAATACGCCTCCCTCTTTCCTGGCCTCGGATTTGCAACCGGTTACAAGGTTCTCCAGCGCATATATAAATATGGTGGGCAGCCATACGTTAAGGATTTTCTGAATAAGCATCACAAGGACGCGTTTTATAATACATTTGGAGAAAAAAGCGGAAAGACAATGATTCATGCTACTGCGGGGAGGTAAGTAGAAGACTGGATGGCACATACTAATTGAAAAATGGTATACTAAAACTTTTGGTTAGTATCGCTTAAACGCATGTATATTCCGAATTAATTTATCGTTAACAATGTGCAGTTTAATCGGAATCGGTGAAGTAGCGTTACTACCACTTGATGTTTTGAAAATCAAAAAGCAGACAGCTCCAGAAACATTAGCAGGGCGAGGGGGAATACTCAAAATCTTCTGGGATGAAAAGCTTGGTCTGTATAGAGGTGGCTTATGGACTGTTGCTAGAAATGCGCCTGGAAGCTTTGCACTGGTAAGTTGTCTGCATAATATATCTTGAAGAATACCATACATAAAAATGAACAAAGAATTACGTTTGCCTTCATTGTTAGAACTTTATAACGTCTTATCTCAACGATTTGCTTTAAACTTTTATTATAACCTTTGTATTACAATGGCTCTATTACTTGACTCGCATACTTCCTTATCGAGTTTGGCGGCTCAGCGGTGGTCAAAGAATACGGTTTCGGCCTAAAAGACTATTCGAAAGCCACTTTCTTCCAAAACTTTTGTGCATCAATTGGAGGGGCAATCGCATCTATCACAGTGGCATCACCACTTGATGTCGTCAAGACAAGAATCCAGAATCGTCCATTTGATGCCCCAGAGAGTGGCGTCACTATAGTAAGGAACATGATCAAACACGAAGGTATTTTCGAAAAGACTGAAAAGTGTATTGCACTGATGCGATGTGTAATCAGCGATGATATACTAAACATCTATTGTCTATTCAGGTCTATCCGCTTTTGTAAAAGGATTAACGCCTAAGATAATTGTTGTTGGGCCTAAACTAGTGTTTTCGTTTACAGTGGCACAGCAGCTAATTCCATTCCTTGACAATTTCTTTGTCTCAAAAGGAATCACGAAAGCAAATCCATTGTAACTAGATCTGAACATATATTTGATAATATGCTAACTTACACCATCATTGTCATCATGCACACGTGTGTTCATACTTTCTTGAATTTTGGCCTCTTTGGTGACATTTGTAGATTGAGTAGATCGTTTTTTTGCCTGAATCAAGATTGTAAAAAGATCGAGAATTTGAAGTTCAAAGTAACTGAAATACATTGGTACCAATTTTTGCTATGATTCAGCATGATTTATTCTACTGGTTCTTTTTCCGAGCGATTTTATGGAAGAAGGTTCGACAACGGTTCCCTTTATTATTATAGTTCCATTGATCGTCCCACCATAGATAGTTCCGCCGTGAGCATTTCTGTAACATTCACATGGGGAGGCCGTTCTTTTTCCCATTTTCGTGAAATTTTGTAATCATCACCCTAGCATCAAGAATAGCTATTCTGGCAACGAAAAACAAAGTCATAGTGACAGATACATAAACGATCAATAAATAATTTTCAATCACAATCTTGCTTTATTTCTGATTTTGTTCGACAATAAATACCATCGATAATATCACTCCTAATGAAAAGCGAATGCGCCTGTTTAACGTGAATGAACCGATCGCAATTAATATCACAACGCGACCGCGCTTGAACCTTCTATCGAAGAATTTGACAAATTGGTGGCCATTGGTAACAAACATATGGACACAATATAATTCTTACAAACACGTCAATGGCGATTTCTGGAGATGTTATGTTTGCCGCTTGGCTAAGCATCGAAATTAAGCACGCAACAGGAAGGAGTATTAGATAAGCGTAGACAAACATCTGTCCGACCGTAATTTTTGTAATACCAAGATCAAAATCACATGGCTAATACCTCTTCAGTCGTACGTTATAACGATTCTCCTGATAATACATATCATATACAAGACATTGACAGGATAAAACGTCCACAAGCGATCCGAGATTTGATTGAACAGGAGGCTAAGAAAAACTATCCGTCACCTGCAATTGTAAACGCTGTAAAAGAATATGGCACCGACAGCCTCAACTGCGCAGAAATTAAAGCGAAAAGAAGTAACGAATATTAAGCATAAAATTCGGGGAGCTATGGAAACCAATCTTGATCATTTTCATGTATCCTTGCACTCCACTCAAGGCCTTGTTTTCGTGCGTTCTGCACAACTCGCAAAACTTGGGAATTGGGTGGTTAACACTGATTGATTCCACTCATAAAACCAACAAATATGATTGGCGTCTTCACACTGTATATCCGCGATGGTTATAAAGAGGTTTCACTGTATTATGGACTTGGCAGGTTGTACGACATGGCAGCCGATTATGACTGGCTGATCAAACACATGATTAAAATGGTTTGCTTATTTAAGTCGCGTAACTATTGCTGCTATTGCTTATCACTGCTCTTATCAACTTTCTTTTCCTTTCTGAAAATGCCTCGTACTCGAAATCCTAAGTAAGCCTGTTTAATTTGGTAAAATAACACTTCTTATATATTAATTATATGCTTGCTTTTTAGTTCTGCTCAGGATATTTGCGACGCGTATAAAGAAAACTTTGATACGTGTCTTTCTGAAGTAAATCCCAAACCGTTACCAGGTACAATACTGTTTTCTCTGTCTTAATAGATATAATCGAATATTTTGGCGAACTCAGCATTCTATGTTTTCAGGAAAAGTGCTCTTGGATCCCGTGACTATTCTTTCAAAAAAACCCGCGTCACAATGGGAAGATGGTGACGTTCTACCCCTAGCTGAAATTCTCGCAGGGAGGATAGCGATTGACGGTACCGGAGAAAACCGTCAAGGAGCAACCGCACTTGGGAAAATCGGCGCAGATTTAACGAATTATATTTTTACCCACCCCAAAATCCGGTCCATTATCGATCCCGTTTATGTCGTGGTTGATCTCACTACCAACGGAAAAGTTCCTCCGACTAATATGAATGCGTATCCTCCATCTGGCTCTCCACATGCTGCCGTAATATCTTACCCAGGATCCAATCATGTTTTCACATTCAACGGTCCCGGAGCGACAGAAGATGCACAACATTTGATCGGTTGGCTTCAAGGCACCAATCCCGGACTTAGAGCATTTGTGTTCCATACTGGATTCCCAACAGTATTATACTGATTGAGAAGCCATATTATAAATCACATCTTATAGGGTGATCGTCTTATTATAAACGGTTTATTATGTAGATTGCGTGGTAATTACTTGCATTATGTAGTTTATTTGCATGTCTGTATACAATATTTACTAAATTAGTATTTATAATAAAAAAATGTAATGCTTTTTGTGCTATCCCAGTATCAGACTCTTACCATTACTTTATATGCATACATCACCTGGTAATGCAGAAAGGTGAGATTTCACTTGCACACTTACATTATAATATATACCGTATTTCTCCGACACGAGTACCCCCCCCCCCCCACGAGCTATACCCTGTGGCAATTTCGAAGGCCAAATTTTGATTTATACCCGGGTATTAGTTATGGTATCCCTCCGGCATATATACCCCCCTGTGATTTGTACCCTCCTTCTAACAGCCAATTAAAATTTATAAAATTTAAGATCAGATAACACAAATTTGTTCAGTAAATAACAACAAATTTTATTAAACTATGATTATTCCCAAACATTACTGCCTCCGACTTCTTCATATTCTTCATAATCAAACACCACATCATCCTCTGTCCCGTCCATTTTGACTGAAACACCACAACATTTAAACGCTTTTACAATCAAATGAATGTCAACTTCTTCCCATGAATCCCTTACCCATTGAGCAAGAGTACCGTAGGGTGGTTTGCAGTTGCAGAATCCGCAAGGCCATATACTAAGTCAAGACATGAGACACTGGAAGACTTATGATGAGCAGATAAATAATCTGAATTGCAATTGAATTTTATTAGTAGTATCTAATAATGCGCGTTAATTATAATATACAATTTCGAGAACATGATTCCGCAACCAATAGAAGTTTAAAGAAACAAATCGAGATATGTACCCCCCATTAGTACGATGTACGCCTTTTGACCCAGATTTAAGAATTTTCCTGGAAGATGGGAAAATTATTTAAGTTTTTTGACTTTTTTAGGGTTTTTTAATTTTATTTCTTTCTCCCCCCTTCTTGGTAACCTTTTTCGAACTTATCAATTATTTTTTGACAATTATTACCCCCCCACACACACGAGTACCCCGGGTACTAAAACGAACAAAGGGAATACCCGGGGTACTCGTGTCGGAGAAATACGGTAATCCCGAACAAGATTCCTGTTTCTAAAATAAGGAATGTGCAATGTAACACACGCGTTGAGAACGAGATTTGTTCACACTTGAAAAAATTTTATCTTTCAAACTATGTCGGTAGCATTAGCATCAGGGACTGTTAATAGTCCAGCAATTGATAACTTAGTTCAATCCTCCTTGAAAAGTGAAAATAAAGACTTAAGACTTGAATGGATTCCTTGGTCGGAAATTACCGACATAGAGTCAAGCCAAATTGACAACGTCTACTATGCTATTCGCAAGCATGGCTATGGAGAAAAGATAATGTTGCAATTAGTTCGAAGCAATGAAATATGTGCACCAACACTAGTGAATGAGTTTGCTAGAATATACTCACTTCCAACACATGAGTACGGTAATAATGTTGATGTCAGTCAATTCAGAAGATATAAGAAATGGCTTGGCAGTCGCAACAAACGCATAACTGGGTTTACCAAGGATGGCGACAACTATTACATGGTTGCTGATAGACAGTTTTACCATTGTTATTCTCGATATGGATTCTGCTCCGCATGTGGAAT